CCCGGGCTTCCCGGGCGGGGCGGGGCGGGGAGGGCTGCGCCCAGGTCCGCCTGCCTCTCCCGGGTCCCGTCGCTCCGCCGGTCTGGGAGAAAGCCACCCGCAAAAGTGCCACCGGGAGTCGTTCTCTCCCGGGCGCGCCCGCGATTACAGAATTTGGGTTTAGAGTTTGCACAATAGTGTTGGCTTTGGGGAGCGGGCAGACAGGTGCCCCGCCCGGCCGAGTGCGAGGGTCACCGCGAGCGGAGTCCCCGGGCCTGGACCCCCACGTGCAAGGGGTCTGGCCGCGGAGGCCGGCGACGCGCGTCTCCGGTGGCCTCTCTCCGCGAGCGGCGGCGGCGGCTTAGCCCCCCGTCGCTGCCATCTGGGGCCTCTCCCCGCCGGCCCTTTGTGCCTCCTAATCCCCGGACGCAGAAAGCCCGCGGGAGGGACTGAGGTCTCTGGGCCTCTCTCTGCCTGGTGGCTTTGGGCACCTTTAGGGGACAGTACGGACACCTCGCCTCTGTTTCCCACGACGACGGGCGTGGGGTTGCGCTGTGGAACGTTGGACTTGGCGAGGAGCGAACATGTCTGACTTACCAAAGAAAGTGTGCAAAGTTTGCTCTTGGCTGGCTGCGGCCGGATGGTCGGTAGACACATTGAGCTTTGGCTGTGGGAGAACTGACTGTAACAGGAGAGCCCTGGTGTGGTCCCCTGAGGCGTTCACCTGACGCAGGTGAGCTTTGGGGGAGGCGGGCGGGGCTTCACTCGGGCCCCTTCCCCTGGGGATCCATTTGCCAGATGCAGAGAGTCTTAACCTGGGCTCTAGGGATCTTCTGCAGGTTTACAACTCCAGGCTGCAGGGGGGATCCTGAAGGGGAATCAGAATCAGCTGGGCGCAGATGAGAGCGTCTGGGAGACGGGAACCCCGGGTGGGAAATAGCAGGCACCAAGGTGAGAAGTGGCTTTTGAGGAAGACTGACGGGTCTGTGAGAACTGAGGTAGGGGAAGGGCCCTGGGGGATGGTCTGTGTTTTATGGGCAGGGGGTCCAGATTGGGTTTCCTTAGTGAGCTGCCCACAGTGCCTGCCCACAGCAGTCAGGATCAAACCTGGCTCTGGGGGCTCTGACCAGGGCTGGCTCCTCTGCTCAGAAGTTAGACGGGGCCAGTCTCCGTAGGGGCCGCTGGACAGTGTTTCCAGGGCCTGGGGTCATTCTGCAGCCCTACTGTGCTCCTTGCTGAGGCAATGGACTGCCCCCTTTGGTGTCAGATTAAGGTAATTTTAATAACTTAGTCACTTCTTAATACACAATAGCATTAAAAGAAAAACAACCATAATTCCCGATGACCCCTATTGGTTTAAAAAATAAAACGGTAATAGGTGCCCATTGTGGGGGAGATGAAACGTTTCAGAAAGTATAAGAGGGCAAAACGTATCCCTCTCGCCTCAGTGTTTCCTCAGACACAGTGTTCGTTAAGTACTGTAGTGCCCTACACGCAGGTGTAAGTTTAAATGGTGCCTAGCCCGTGTCTTGCTGCATGACTCTGGCTCGGCCAGTTAACCATCCCGAGCCTCCGCTGAGCCTGGCTTTACAGATGTTGATGAATGGATGAGAAATGTCCCAAACACGTGTGGCCTGGCACAGCGCCGAGCCAGGTGAGGGTGTGTCTTAGCATCTCCACGAAGCATGAAAGTCGTGGTTCCTCGTGGGCCTTGGCAGATGCCTGGGCCTGTTGGATTTGCCTGATGGATTGTGAGGGACTCTGGTTTCTCTGTCCAAATTTCATCCGGCGGGGGGGTCATGGTTTCTGAGAGCCTCTGGAGGACAGAGCTTTTAAAATGAGGGTGGGAGTTGGGAGGCAGTGGCCTGTCCTAACCTCATTCATATTCCAGAGGCCCGTGGTAATTCTCCTGCTCCTTGGCGGAGCCAGAAGCCCAATGTCCAGACCCCAGCTGGGGGCCTATCCTGGGGTTGGGGGGGGGTGGGGTTGTAGAATCTGATCTGCTCTGCTTTCTGCTCGGGGGAGGGCTTGGCTGTAGACATTCTGCACCCTGTTGGGGGAGGGGAGCACATTCCTGGGCTGCTCTGTTGTCATTGAGATTTTCTGAGCACTCCAGCGTGCTTTCTTTCAACCTTAGTTAGGGAATGAGTTCCTGGCCCCAGGACCCTCTTCCTAGGAGAGAGTGGTGCATAGAGCTGGAGAGTTCGGAGCATCTGCCGTCTGTCTGTGACCCCCGTTCTACCCCATTGGAGACATTTAGCATCGGGGCAAGAGTCTCCAGGAGCAATGTGGGCTGCCTAAAGGGTTACGCAGCCTTCCTGGCCCACCCACATGTGTTGGAAGCAGCTGCTGCGACACCTGAGTTGGGGTGGAGGGTCGGTGGTCCCTACTCCTGGGTTAGCTGCTCTGAGCAGCATGGGGCCACTGGTACTGCTGCCCTTCCCCAGCCCTGGCCCCCAGGGCTCCCCAGGAGACCCCCTTCCCTGTGCCGTCACCATGGGGCTTTGCCGAGCTCCCTTTGGTGTGACCTTCCCTTCCTGCCCTGCCTCTCAGGGGAAACTGGTCCTTTGAAAAGTCACCTCACTCCTTCCCCTTCCCAGGAACCACAGTGAATTCTTGAGCTAGGAGAGGCTCCTCTGGGCGTGGAGACGGGGAAGCTGCTAGGGACCTGACTCTCCCCTTCAGGAATTCAGCAGTGACCGGAGCCTATGTGGAAACACCTGTGTTACCAGGGTTTGATGAAAGGGACCTGTGGGTACAGGACTGTTTGACTCTTATAAGTAATGATATTGTTGGATTCTCCTTGCCAAGGAGCTGGGTGTCCTGGAGCCTCGGACTGAGGCAGAGCCCACAAAAGTGTCCCCAGCAGGATGCCCGGCATGATGTCCACATGGCCCTGGCCAGAGACTTGACAACAGGGTGGGGAAGTTCCCTGAGGGACCCTCTGGTGCCCCAACACAGTGTTCTTTGGGGTTAGTAGCTCCTTCTTGGAGAAGGGCTTTGCCTAGTTGGTCCCCATTCAGCCCTGGCTGTTCATTCATTCATTCATTCATTCAAAAGTATTTACTGGTACCTCTGTGTGTACGGTGTGATTTAGACACTGGGCACTAGCCTTGCAGAAGGCAAAGATCTTTGTTATCACAGGATTCGAATGCTAAAGGGTGGAGAGCTCTAGGGACAGAAACTGGTGTAAGTAATAAATAATCTGTTAAAAGGTGATATGAGCTACAGAGCAGCAAGGGATAGGGCGTTGCCTATGGTGGGGGCAGGTTGCAACCTAAAAGGTGGGCAGGATGGGCCTTGACGAGGTCACATTTGAGCACAGATTGGCAGGGGTGAGGGAACCCTTTAAGTAAAACGGGGATGTCTTTCAAAAGGAGGGCACTAAGCCCTGGGGATACAGCCATGCTCAGCACAGGCACAGTCCCTTCCTCCTGGAGCTGGCATCTTCTAGAAGCTCCTTAGGACAGTGGTTGGCAAACCGCGGCTCGCGAGCCACATGCGGCTCTTTGGCCCCTTGAGTGTGGCTCTTCCACAAAATACCACGTGCAGGCACACACGTACAGTGCTATTGAAACTTCGTGGTTTTCGGCCTGGGCGAGTCTATTTTGAAGAAGTGGCATTAGAAGAAGTGGGGGGTGTTGGTCAGTCGGGAGACGCGGTGCAGACCGGCCGCGGGATACGCAGCGCGGGGGAGGTACATTGTTTTGAGGTACGTTCGCTGAGGTCGACCCCTTCCAACTCTCCCATCCACA